TGAAGCCCCCCAGCAATACTACCCCCCCCCCCCGCCCCAAAGTGGTCGATGATCTAACCGCTAAGAGTACGCTCCCCTCCCACCCCTCACCCCCGCCCCAACACAATCGACACGTGTCTACCTTCTTTCTTTTTTTCACAGCCAGCCGTGCCTGCCTACTTCTTCTGCGTTGCGTGCGCGCTGGCAACACCGCACGCCCCGCCGTCAAGCTAACGAGTCATATCGGACGTATATGACACACACACGCCGATCCCTACGGAGCTTCTCAGCGTCTACAGGTCTCCGCCAAAGATGCGTCGCTCAGCCGGTGTGTTACAGTACCACCGGTGCCAGTATTAGCTAAAACTGGCACGTGCAACACACCGGAAGAAGACCTGGCGCCTTCTCCTTGGCCACGCCAGTTGACCGCGGCGGACGCTTTATTCACAGACGCACAAAAAAGGTGAAAAAAAAAACAAACAGTCACGCCGTCCCGTACATGAATATTCACGCCATCCTGTACAAGGGACAGGAACAGACAATCCTCATCATCAGGCGCTGATAAGGCAAAAAAATCAGAGACAGACGGCACCCATATTTTCGGCAAGCCGGCCGTTCAGCCATCCAAAGCCGAGCAACACACTCGACTCGGATTCTTGGAGGAACTCGGCATCCCTTGTGCCGCCCGTGAGGTCGTGGAATGACACCACCACCGCCCCGTTCTTTCCGGCAACGGTAGCAGGCACAAGCCTCCTGGGATGTCGGTCCCGCCGATGCTCGTCATGAACTTCGACCTGTCGAGACCCCATCCTCTATGCTCACCAATTGATTCGAGGAACCGAAGGGATATGGAAAAAAACAACGACAAAGAAGGGCATGCCACTTTGGCACCGACATTTCTGCCTATTTATGGCAGCAGTACCCTCACGCCGCACATCTCAACAACTGACAACACCGCCTTGGGAGGCATGGAATAACTATGGTGTATGTGCCATAATAATCTGTCAAGTTCGTGTACAACAATCGAACACTCTTGTAGCACGAAAAATCAACCAGGGACGGGGCCTCCGCCCTGCGGCCACAAGCGTGATGCGCAATTTTTCGCCGAGGGATAGGACAAACACCAACATGCAAACGCCACAACTTGCGTAGTCCCCCGCTCCTGCAAGCCAATATCTTGTGCTCCGTTGTTCTGACCATGCTGCTGCTGCTACTGCTGCTGCAGATGTAAATCTTCCCGACTCAGAAGGAATTCCACCCCCCGCAAGACCCGCGACGACCGCTCGACAACCGCGTCGCCAGCATTTCAAAAAACAAACAAACGCCTTGAACCTTGTCAACAACCGTCCCCACCCCCGCCCGCCTTCGAAAGCCTCCGTGCGCAGCTATCACCGCTATGTATCCGTTAGGACGACTCCCCGCTACACACAGGCGTCACCCAACGGTGTCCGTTGCCGTCCATCTCCACCTCCGCCACCCCTACAAGAGCTACTGAAACCTGAACACCGTCTTGGCGGCGCCATTTTTGTCCCCCGCCACAATACCATCAGCCATGTCTCCACCGCCAACCCCCGTCCCCGTCACCGTGTTCCCGCCCTTCTTGAGCACCGCTGCCGCCGCCGCCGCCTGCCCCGCTTCGGCCGCCGCCGCCGCCGCCTGCCCCGCTTCGGCCGCCGCCGCCGCAGCTTCCTGCGCGCGTGCCAACTCCCGCGAGTTCGCCACGGCCTCCGCCGCCAAGGACCCCGCCCTCGACTCCCTCGCCAGGAGCTCCGCCCGCGCGACGGCGGCCTCCGCCTTCCCGACAGCGTCGGCCATCGCCGCCGCTACTGCCACCTTCCCCGCCGCCGGCGGCGCCGCCGGCAGGACACCGCCGCCACCGCCGCCGTTCTTGCCAGAGGCACTGGCACCGGCACCGGCACCGGCACCGGCGGCGGCGTCGGCGGCCGCCTGCGCAAAAAGACACACATGCCAAGAAAAGAGGGCATCGGTGAAGGGCGGCGGAATAAACAAGAAACGCTTGTGGTTTCCAAGGCAAACGCGGGCCGCTGTAAACAAGGCGCATGGAGACGGCACGTGCTGCTGCAGAAATGGGCGGGCGGCCTGGTATAGAGAAGTCCACCTAAAGGACGCAAACCGATTCAAACCGATTGTTTTCCTTGTCTGGCTTCCATCTTCGTGGATTCTTCCTGGGCTTTACAACCAAAATCAAAGCTTTCATCCCGCAAACATTGCGGCACGAGCACCTTGACATGACTATTTTTCTTGTCTCTCCCATCGCTCAGGGTGAAGAATAGGCCAGCGCAACGACATTCTTTTATTTTCTCATTCCAACCGTACCTTGTCCCAGCGCTTGGTGTCGGCCAGCAAGCTCCGCGCCTCATCGCTCATGGCGCCGGCCAGCACCGCGATGTCGGACAGAGCGGTCGCTGCGGCGGCCGCAGCCGCCGCGCTCGCCTTCGTCGGCTTCCTCCCCGCCGCCTCCTCCTCCCGCTGATGCTGCTGCTGCTGCTGCTGCAGTCGGGCCTTGTGGCGCTGTGCCGCCGCCGCTGCTCGCTCCGTCTGCACGGCGGCGACCTCCGCCCTCGCCGCCCTCCGACGGGGGGGGACCTTCGAGGCGGGGCCAAGGAACGGGTGCTCGGCGGCTGCCGCGGCCGACATGCGCCTCGCTGGGCTCACTTGCAAGAGCTGTGAATAGCGGACATGATGAGGGGGGCGGTACGGCAATTGGGATGCACAAGGGGTCACAACAACGTGGGTGGGAACGATCTGCGAGCTCTGCAACCCTGCCGAAGACAAAATGACGGACAGCAAGCTTTTCTCGGCCCTTCTGGGGGGGGTACCTAGGTGTGCGGGACAATTTAGCACGGCGCCACGTATCGGCTATGCACCATGCATGGAGTCACCTGAAGAAACAAGGGCACGGCAGCAGTCCTACAAAGCGGCAGCATGGAGAAACAGACGGCAAGGTCATCATCCGCTCTCCGCAAGCAACGTGCGCCAACACGAAGGGGGGTACGGTAGCAGAACAGCGGCACAACGCACGATTGCAGCAGCAGCAGCAGCAGCAGCAGCAGCAGCAGCAGCAGCAGCAGCAGCAGCAGAAGACGTGTCCACGAGGCCCAGTATCATGACGGAGAAAAAGCAACCCGGAAACGACCACACACGCACACCCCTGATGCAACAACAACAACAACGCCCACCACCATGCATCTCTCCCGCACAAGACAAACAACAAAGGATAACTCCCGCGCCCCGCACACGCACACGCTAACACTACGCCACACCTGCGAGATGAAGTCCGCCCCGACCTCCCCCACGCAGCCCTCCTCCACCTCGTAGCCCCCGCGCACGACGGCCTCCAGCAGCTTTAGCTGATCCTGCTCCCGGTGCCCCCGCCGCCTGCGCCCCCCCCCCCCCCCCCCCCCCCCCCCCCCCCCCCCCCCCCC